GGACATGAGGGGGCATGATTGCTAGAGGGAAATGGGGTAGTAGGCCAAGGGGGGGTCAAATGGAAAAATTGGGACAACTATAGTAGCATAATCAAGAAAACATTTAAAAAAAATTTATCCTAATATTTCCATACTTGGCAATACCTTGTTAGCTACCCCTAGTAGTGCTTAAATTAGTTGTTTTTCCTCTTAAAAGGCAGCTTCCAGAACTGAATATAATATTTAAAATAGAAATGTAATGTAGATTAAGTGAACTTATCACATTTCTATATATAATCAGAAAGCAACACACCATGTGAAAGATAAATGTTTCACCACTGAAAAGCAGCAAGATAGAGAAACAGAGAGGGTCATCAACCTCAGTGCATCTCACCAAGATTCTAATGTTTATATTAAAAAATAAAGACATAACCAATGTTCTGGTCTCCAAGATAAAAATAGATAAATTAAGTCCCATTCTTCATAAGAAACAGAAGAATAAAGTTGTGACTGTATCATCTGCTAATAAAACAATCAAATTAGGGATTGTATAAGTAAACATTACACATGTATCTCAGTATATAAGTATATTGAAAAGAAGTGTTCATGTGAGGAACTGGATTAAAGGCAGAATTTGTCTAACCAAGAAAAAGAAATGAAATCAATCCATTTTATTTCAGAAAAAAATGACTATATTGAAAAATAACAATCTGGAGAAAAGCGAATATTGAGATAATAGAATAAAAAGATTCTATTATCAAGTCAGGCTCTAACCCAAGTCTGCCACACCCTTTAGCTCAGTGACCCATCAGCATCGGGTGCTCAAAATTTCCACATTTGCTGATATCCCTCCACTTGTTACTCAAAACACTCCGTCAAGTGTCTTCCCACACTGCCTTTTAAGAGAACTAATACTATCAGTTTTATCTGACTTAGATACTGATTTCATATTTACCAGGAGATTCTGGCCAACGTTTCTGAAAGCACATTTAACTATACCATATGCCTCCTTAAATCATCTCTATCAAACAAGCTGTAGGATAAGGCTCTGGATCATTCTGTTCTGTTTTTCTTTCTTCACAATGTGTTTATGTATATTTATCCAATTTGCTCTGTTCTTCTTGCCAAATTACAGGTTTGAGATCTCAATGATTGCAGAGCAGCTGTGTTATGGTTGATGTCTCACTAAACAAGGGTCATAGCATGAGGCCACCCTGCAAATGCTGGACACGCCTGCCCTTAGCACCACGAAGCAACTGTCCTGAAATGGGGAGGATTCAAAGAACTTCCCAGTGTCCTTTCCCTTCAACCTTTAGGCCTTTTGGCACAAGCGAACCACTGTTAGAAATAAACTCCCAAACAATCTACAGATTTTTCTCAGTAAGAAAGTTTAATCATGTGACATTTAAAAAACAACTTGCATCCACTGAAAGAAATAAAAAGAAAAACCTTGTTACTACCACCTTCACATAATTTCTGCTTAAATCCTAAGAATTTGTTCATCTCAGTGTAAATATCTCTATCAAATAAAGACATTTAATAGAGATTCTCCCAAAGAAAGTACTTCAGAGACCTACTTCAACAATGCTAAACACTATATACGTGCGTAAGAATTCCCAGACGGCTTTCCCTTTTGTTTACTCCATGACATCAACTTCCCAAAGCAAACTTGAGTCCTAACTGTTTGACTACATTCTTCGTTCTCATCTCCAAGTCAGCATTTTCATGTTAACTCTCTTTCAAACCCAAATTCACAAGCCCTGGGTTTTTAATGAAATAATCTTTAAACAAATGTAATTTGGGAAATATGACACAAAGAAGAGAAAGGAACTGTGAGAGTAGGCTAATGAGATGAGGCACATGCCCACAGAGCCAGCTCTGAGACTCTGCATCTGGCTTGGAGGCTGTCTGTCTAAGGTTACTTCACCAGCACGATGTTAATTATTTAAGTGAGAGAACAGGGGAACCATCACCACATCTGTCACCCTCACACAGGAAAAACCTTCATTCATTGTTGGGCCAGATGTGTTTACTTGAAATATAGACTAACTAGCTACTTAATGGGTTTGAGTCTGTAGCCAAAAGATAATTAGGCAAGTAAATTAAGCATCAGTCACCTTATAGGGCTAAACTGTTTCAATTGTGTTGATTTTAATCCAATCTCAGAAGAGAGCTCATCATCTACAAAAGTATCTGAAGAAAATTCAAGGCAAAGAAAAGCTCCAAATTACTTGCAACATACTTAGTAGAACAAATAATGATGTCCCCAAATGCCTAATACATTAACAAATAAAATCTTTGCCCAGTGGTATCATGTACTTGATTTTTTAAAAAACTAAGTCAAAAGTAATTATTGCCTGGGATGGGTGGGATTGGTGGAGGGGGGAAATGGAGGAAACTGAACTTGAACAACAAAAAAAAAAGAGAGAGAGAAAGTAATTATTTTAAACAGAGCTCCTTCCCCCAAACAATCTGTTTGCTTGTTGGTGGAATACTAGCATCAAAAACCAAACAGATGATGACCTCTCACATCTGATATTTATTATGCTCTATATGCTTTTTAAAAATCACATCTCCTGAATATTTAGCCTATCTACCAATCACTAAACAGTATCAGCAGTCTCTATGGGAGTTTCTTCAAAAGGAGACTGTGCCCAAAGGTAAATTCTAAAGAAAATACTTCAGTATCTGAGAACAGGCATTCTGCATTTTATAATTATTTTGGAGCAGGAAGTAAGGTGTCTTCCTTAAATAGACACTATTATTAATAAGCCAAGATAATTTTCTGCTCTCTTAAACAGCATTCCTTCCAAAATAGGAATCTGCTCATTTTTCTCCTGCCTGATACATGCCCCTGCCCCGCAACAATCAAATGCTCTCTTTTAACTGTTTATATAACTAGTAAATCAAAATATTTGCAAAAAATATATTCATCCTTCAGGTAACAAACATTGAGCAAATCTCCTGTAGGTCAGGCATTGTGTAAGGTGCTAGAGATATAGCAAGAAACAAGGCAAACAAAATTCATCCTAGCAAAAAGGAGACACAATAACAAATGAATGCTTTGGAGGAAAACAAAACATTAAAAGGGAATGGAGTGCCAAACAAAGAAGGGGAAAGATCACATGATTAAATAAGGTGACCAGGAAGATCTTCCTAAGAAGGTACCCTCAGAATAAGACTTGAAAAGAAGAGTGAGCCATGAGGGGAAGAGCATTTCAAGTTGAAGGAACAAGTGTAAAAGTACTAATGTGAGAGCAAGCTGACGTGGCTAAGAAATAGCAAAGAGGACAAAATGACTATAACTGCAAGGGAAAGAGAAGATAAAGATTGAGACATGGTGAGGGTCAGAACCTATAGGCCCTTGTGGAACATTGCAGTGACTTGACTTTCACTGTGAGTGGAATGGGAAACTCATTATGGAGGATTTTAAGTGGGGGAGTAACATAAGCCAATTTGCTTTAATAGGGTCACTCCTGCCAAGAACAGATGCAGAAAATCCAGTGGAGAGGCTAATACACCAAGCAAGAGATGAAAGCAGCTAGGTCTAGGATGGTATCAGCAAAGGTGTTGGGGAAGAATTGTATTGTGAATGTATTTTGAAATTAGAGCTAATAAGGTTTGCTGATGGCCTGCATGGAAGAGAAATCAGCAATGAATTAAAGGTGTTTGACTTGAACAACACAAAGGGTGGAGCTGCCAATGGTTAAGACAGAGGAGACAGCTGTGGAAGCAGATTGAGGGGAATGATCAAGAGGATCAATATGAAATTAAAATTTTCTTAAAATAGGACCAAACATCAAGTCAATAGATTTATCATTGCTAATACAAGATATGATTACCCAGCAAGTCATGGAGTCTCACTATGCACTTGGGGTTGAGATGGCTCTAGGCAGAATGGATCTACTTCAAATTCCAAGACACAGTCTACTATAGCCATAAGCATGTTGTCACTAACAGCAGATTCTTAGATGACACAGAAAATGAAGTTTTTTATAGAAAGAAAAAAATGACTCTGAGAGTTTTGCCACTGTAAGTTATATTATGCACTCCTTTAATCAATGTAAAATAGAAAACTGATATTGCTCTAACCTACTCAGATGACCAGAAGTGATGTTCAACAGATACCTTGAATATGTTTGCATCCACAGAAGCTGAGTGCTCAAGTAAACTTCAAATTACTAGATTCTGTTGGGTTCCAAGGAGAAAAATATAATCTTCACTCTCTGAACACCAATCCAAACTTTGGGTTATATATTTTACTTTCCTCTGTTCTAGGTTCAAGACCAGTATACAGTGTATCCTGTATCTTATTCATTATCATAAGCATATTGCATTCACTACCGTTGGGCTAGGGAACATTTGAAACATGTCCAATCATTTCCTTAATAATCGAATGGATAGAAAAAAGTCATAAGTGGAAATACTAAATTACTAGCAAAATTAATTGTAAGTGATTGAAATAAAGGTCTTCTTCTGAACTAAATATCCCTTATTTTAATTAGTTATCATTATGGTTCATTACCACACCAAGCAAATGTAAGAATATAGACCTTAACAGGACTGAGAATCACAGCACAAATATTTCCCAGCTTGAGGTGTGCCTTATTGAGCCACTTTCCTTTTTAACTTCAATTTAATATTTAAAAACTATAGTAATTATTCAAAATCTCACTTTGGAACTCGTGTGTATGTGCATGTGTGAATTTAATACACTGAGGTAAAATACTGGCTGTGGCTCTGATTATGTAAAGGCTCTAACAATACTTCTCAAACCAACCTAGATAAATATTTATAGAGTTTTTTAATCAACAGGTAAGAAGTAAGATGCAACAGACTTTACTGTTTTCAATGTGCTAAGAGTACAGTTAAAGTACTAACCAGAGTGGTTTGTTTAGGGCTTACTACTTCATGTTCAATCTGCACAACAAAATCCAATAAAAAACCAATGTACATTTGTCACCATTTCCTAATCATCTGGAGCCAAAATGTTTTTGAAATGTTTTTAGTGAGGTACTCACTCGCCAACTTTACTCAGGGAAGGCGCGGGACAGAGCATAGAATTCAGCTCCACACTTACTGGCTGCACACCTGGAAAATAAAACGCCACTGATTTGGTAAAGGGTTTTATAAATCTCATAGTTTCATTAATGACATAAAGGGTATAGGACAATCAGAGTTCAAGTGTGGAACATTAGCTATGTTGGCATGAAGAAGCAAAAAGACACTCATTTAAAGAAAGAGGAGATGAAAAAGAAAGTAAAAAATAGAGATTATAGTATGCCTCATTGATACATAATATTGGTAAATTATAAATCATGACTTTATTACTTAGACTAAGTTCATACATTGTAGACATTCGATCATCTGCTCCCTCAATAAGTCAAATATTTTAGATTTTGTAAAGCTAAATGACATATATGTCGTTAAAAGCAGAATTTTAAAATGATAGAGAAAAAAATGTCCAAAGGAAAATGAATTTATTTCAAGAATTTAATAAAACAGTTGTGTCTATAGTAAAAATACATTTTATAAAGCTGAATGCTTAAATTGCCCTTGTAACTTTAATAATAGATGAGAAAAATGATCTAGACTATAAATTTTCAGAACAGTTATATAATTGAATGGATAATTCTAGAATGAGAATGATGAAAATGCAATCTGAGTCCACTTATTCATTTGAATATTTACTTTGATAAGCTTAATTTTATGTAGCTACGTGTAAGATATGTTTATAGTATAATCGATTCAGCTATATAATCAAAAGGAATTAGGTAAAACTAATTCTTAGATACAGATAACTACTGATAACTATTTTTTTCTTCAATTGTGGAAACTACTAGGAAGAGAATTTGTAAAAGAATATTATTATCTTGCCTTACCAAAATGATCTTAATAGGAAATAAAGGAATTCATTGTGACATTTATCACGCTGAGATCATCACCACTTGAATTCAACAAACACATATTGAACAGTTACTGTGTGTATAGACCAAGCTGTGCTAATTGGAGTGTTTAGTACCATCAGATAAACAGCAAAACTGGAGATGAACCTCTCAAAAAACAATTCTACCAGAGTTCAGAGTTGTAGCATATGCCTTCCAGTATAAAATTTTAGAAGACACAGTAATCATCAATGAGGAAGAATTGTCTTAATAGAAATGCAAAATGCTCAGAATACTAGCGTCATTTAAGTGGATGTTTTCTCAGAATGAAGACTGAAACATCATACTCATCTGCTTTTTTGAAAGCCAAGCTAGCAAAACTAAAACCTGATTCCATAAATGTGATTATTATCACATATTTAGTATGTGATAATATTCTAGTGCCTGCTGGGTGAACACTGGAGATACAAAAATATCTTTAAGACAAAAAGTCTGTCTCAAAGAAGCTAGTTGACAAATTATGTAGAAACTATTTAGATAGAAAGCAAGTGACAATACAATAAATAGTAGAGTAGTCCAAGTGAGATTTCTAAACAAGAGTGATAAGAAGTACATAAATCTAGAAAAAGAGGCAATTAAATCAGACAATTGATACAGTCCATATGAAGCAGAGACAGGAAAACTGGGTTCAACTGTCAGCTCTGCCCATTATTAACTGTGTCACTACAAAGAAGTTATTTGACTTTTTCAGCCACGGGACCATTCATCATCTGTACAATGAGGTTGCTCAGAATGGGGCCCAGAATTCATTTAGCTGTGAATAAACATTGCCATCATTGAATAACTACCAAATAATTATTATTATTTGTACTATCATGGGACTGCATTTCTTTTTCCTTTGTTAAAAAATAGAGCAGAGTTGGTTACAGTTGGGGAAAAGTAGGAAACGTCTGATGCTGACTTGCTGTGCAGGTACTAGGGCAACATGGAGACTGTGGGGACCTACTCTTTGTGTAGGTTTCGTTCACTGTGTAGGTGCAGAGAACACTGCCACTGCGACTGCCCAAGTTGAATCCTCTTCCCTTCAAAACGATTTGAAATTCATCTGGAAGTAAAAGGAAAAATAAACATTTTAATCATTGCTTCGCAAAAGAAAAGAAAAAGAAGACATAACTTGAATGTATCAAATTGCATAGAATGAATTTTCTTCATACTATTCAACCAACTAATAATACCAAAGAAGACATGGTTATGTTTCCAACTCTACTTGCTTTCTTAGATCCTTTAGGGAAAAGAGTGGAGATATTATTCACTACATCATAGGGAGGCATTTTATTTTTTAAACAAAGTGTTTTCCAATAGTGACCAAGATATCAGAATTAAAGCATCGCAGTCATTCCCCGATAGAAAGACCATACAAACTCCCCCAAATTCTATCCTTAGGAAAATATCAGCAGAAAGGAAGCCTCTTTGTTTACTCTACCATCAGGTATTGAAGTGTGGAAAGGTAAAGAACATTAATTATTCCCATGTTTTGGTTCTTAGAACTATCATATGTTGTATTTTCTTTAATCTATGATACTTCATAGTTCTTCTTTAATAACTTCTTCACGTTACTAATCCCGGTTTCAGTTTTTTTGTTGCATACAAAGTTATAACTTCTCAGAGGTAACATATTTTGGACTACTAATAATCTATAGCCTGTCACTAAAGTTGATTTAACTTGTTGTACTTTAGGTCTATAGTAGGAGCAATCACTTAATGTTAGAGAGTGAGACACTATGCTAGAAAAAACACTTAACATCTAATATCTTGATTGGCAACTAAATGTTTGCTGCTTACCTGCAAAATGATATATTATAACTATTTTAACAGTGATTGACTCTCAGTCCTCTCAAACACCTCCTATCTAATGTAATCTAACTAACACACAGTAAGTAACTATGGAAGAAAATACTGCAATGCCACTCTCCATTAAAAGTGTTTGTTATAAAAGGAATTCTACTTGTAAGTTAAAATAAAATGCATGTAAGACTTAAAATATGGCTCAGTAAAAACAACATGAGCTTTAGCATAGCAAATACTGAACCTGTGTCTGCCTCGGTTTCCCCATCTGTGAACCAGGGATTATGGAAAAGTGCTGGGACATTCAAATGCACTATTCCTCTTAAACGTCTCAGTAACCATTAGTTAGGAGACTAACAGGTGCAAAACTTAATATCACGTTCTACAGTTGGGAGGCTCTACGGTAGATTACCCAGCCCCACCAGACACAATATTTTTTTCTTTTCCTAAGTTAAGTGGGTTAAAATGAACTTCGGGTCAGACTTGAAGAGGAAATAGAATAGTCCAAAGAGAATCACACTCTCTTTGGATAAGGATGGCTTTGAAGTTTCAACACTTTCTTTTCTTAACACCAGTGATGAAGCCACTGGCTTCCTCACTGTCACACAGCTGTAAGTCACTTCCTTATAAGCCCTGGGCTGGCAGACACTGCACTTTGGCCAGGTTATCAAAGAGTAGAGCTAAAAATCTGCGTGTACACGATTGTTCGTACAATCAGAGAAAGGAAAAAATTTCAAATTCTATTTCAGTTGTCACAGGAAAGGTCTCAAACATGAACTAAATATACAGAAGATTCTAAAAGCCTGTCACACAATATGTTCATTATTTAAAATAACACTCCAATCTTAAAAATTTGAATTTAAAATAGAAATATTTCAAGGAATTATTTTAAAATTCTTACAGAAAAAGATGCCAAAAAAGTTAATTTTGCTATTCTCTTTCCAACATGAGTTTCAAATCATATATTTTAACTAGGAAAAAATACATTTTCTTACATGATATTTTTAAATTCTAACCACTTACCCCCAACACATACACTTGAGGGCTGCAGTTCCAGGATTTCAGTGCATGACTGAGCTAGTATCTGAAAGGAAATAAAGGAGACAAAGATATCAAAGTGAATTATAACATGTGAAGTCCATTAGAAGATTGTTAATAACCTTGAGGTCCTCCCTTTAACATCAATATATAGCAGAAAAATCTATTAACTATCACATACACAGTTATGAAGCTCTTAGGAAACTTCTGTGATGTCTTTCAGTATATAGTGTAAGACTTTATTCTGCAGGAATCTTATTTGATCAAACACAGGTAAGAACAGATAAAAGTGAGTGTTGCCTCTAAGCCCATCGCCTTGGCTATAAAAAGATAAGTAAATCCTGGTAGCCATAAATTCAGTGCTGGTTTTTCCCATTAGGCAAAAACAAGATAGCAAATCAGACTTTCTGTTTAATTTTTCTAATTTAATGTTTTCTAGTAAGAGGTTCAATATAATACTGATAAATAAACACTTCTTTGTGGCATTTCTATTTGATTTCTCAGCCTCAAGTCCCATGAATGCTAATACTTCTTAATGTTACAGATACTACACTTGCAGAACACTGGCTCCTTGTATGAGGCAAATATTATTCTCAAAAACAGAGACTGGCCCTGGCTGGTGTGGCTCAGTGGACTGAGCACTGGCCTATGAACCAAGGGGTCACTGGTTTGATTCCCAGTCAGGGCACATGCGTGGGTTGTGGGCCAGGTCTGTAAGAGGCAACTGATCACTGTTTCTTTCCTTCTTTTTCTCCCTCCTTTCCCCTCTCTCTAAAAATAAATAAATAAAAATCTTTAAAAAAAAACCCACAGACTGCACTCCCTCATTCCCAGAGCACAGAAACACAATGGTTCTTCTCAGTGAACTTGTCCTGAAAAACAGAAACCACCATACAAGGCACAGGGCTACGAGTGAAAAACAACAATGATGAAATAAGCTGTTCCTAATGGTCACACAATCCTGTCTTTATTTTTGGAACTGCTCTGCACTTCATTATCAAAGTCAGACAAATTCCAGATGATCTTTGAACAACATTCCTTTCTTGGCGGAACTTGAAGACAGATGATGTATGTGCAGTGGTTTCTAGCATCTCCTGCTGATAACTAGAACAGGAAGGAAGAACTGTAGCAGGAAGGAAGAACTGTAGCAGGAAATAATGCTTCTGGTGCTCTATTTATTAACAGTGAAAATACAAATTGTCAGCCTCTGACAATCGGTTATGTCAAATCAGGGAACTTTTGTGGCTAAATATGCGTCAAAATATACACTTTCTTCTGTACGTTTTAGATTGTTTCCCTGTGAATCTACTTTTAGAGAAGATATATAGTAAAATTTGATAGCTGAGAAGCTCTAGATGAGATCTATTTAATTGCAGAAATTACCAAAGAGATTCCACAGCACCCAAAAACCTTTCAACACCCAAACACCTCCTTTGGGTCTACTACATCTCTTATCCACTGAGGAGTGGGTACCATTGTTCAATTAAGAATTGAGCTAAGAATTGAAAACTGTTGTCGAAGGCTAATGTGCCCTCTTGGATGGGACCTATCTCAAATCACTAACATCTTTAAATGTTTTGACATGATCCAGGTAACAGGACTATAAAGAGCACAGAAAAAAAGTTTTGCTAAAGGAATATGGATGTATGGTTGCCTCTCACGCATCCCCTGCTGGGAACTGGCCTGCAACCCAGGCATGTGCCCTGATTGGGAATGGAACTGCGATCCTCTGGTTCGCAGGCCCACGCTCAATCCACTGAGCTACACCAGCCGGGGCAACCTAAACAACAAAACAAACAAGCAAGCAAAATAAAAACAATGACACTGAAATAGGGAACAGGCTGGCAGGGGAGAGAGGAGGGAATTTCAGGGGAAAGGGGGAAGGAGTCACAGGAACAAGTATATAGGACACATGGACAAAAACTAACAGGGGCGGAAATGGGAGGGAGGTGGGGAGCACTGGGGGGTGGGCTGGGATGGGAGTAAAAGACAGAAAACTGTACTTGAACAATAATTAAATTAAGAAAATAAATAAAACATAAAAAATGGCATATGTATGTAAAAATGTTCCAACTAACAACAACAACAAAAAGGCATTATAGCTTTAGCTCTGGCCAATCTGAGATGAGAGTGAGGACAGTGAGCCACCAAAATGGAAGGTCAAAGGAAAACACAAGCCCCCAAATCTGTTTTGCCTGGCAGCACTTCTGCAAGAATTTATTTCAAAACAGATCTTATTAAGGAGACTGTTCTTTTTAGCCACACCTCTGTTAGAATCACTAAAAAAAGTTTCAGGCATCGGAAAAAGTAAGAGAGTGGTTTAAAGATTCAATCTATTAGAGATAGACATTTTTTTTAAAGTTTCTTGGAACAACGCAAATCAAAAAGTTACAGAGATTTTATAAAGGTGATGTCAATGAATATGTATCCCAGAATGACCTATGTGAATTTCTGAAATTATGTTGGTTTTCTCTCTCCTACCAATATTGACCATCATTAAGTTAGATCTCATAATATTTAAGACAAATGTATGTGTGTTGACTTCCTTTTTCACTTGAGGTAATCTATCAAAACATTTTTAAAAAGATAGTTTCACTAGAAAGACCACTGAGCAGTTCTGCTTCTGGAGCTCTCCTTAAGACTGAAGGCTAAATACCTCCAAGTATCACTGATGGTCTACATCTCTGAAACCAGACCCTGTTAATGACCTGCAAGGTATTTTGATTTTAAAGAAAAAGTTCAAGATCATTTAGCAATCTACGTTGTACTCAGATCTGAGATTTAAAAATCAAGTTACAGCCCGGACTGGTGTGTTTCAAGGGGTTGGGCATTGTCCTCCAAACTGAAAGGTTGACAGTTTGATTCTTGGTGGCACATGCCTGGTTTGTGGCCAGGTGTCCAGGTGGGGGAATGTGAGAGGCAACCAGTCAATGTTTCTCTCACACATAGATGTTTTTCTCCTATTCTTTCTCCTCCTTACCCCTTTCTGTAAAAATAAATAAGTAAAATCTCTTAAAATTTTTTTAAATTTTACAAAAATAAAAAGTCACAGTACATTAAGCATGGGAAATAGTCAAAGGTTGGTTATATCTTGCAGTAACTTGTATAATATACACTTATTCTAATTTAATGTTTTCTAGTAAGAGGTTCAATATAATACTGATAAATAAACACTTCTTTGTGGCATTTCTATTTGATGTCTCAGCCTCAAATACCATTAATGCTAATACTTCTTATGTGTATATATATACATATACATATATACATATATAATATATATACACTTATTTATACTTAATTATTTTAATAAAATGAGTTTCACAGAAATGAGTTCACAGAATTGAAAAGTAACTCAGGTAACACATTCATTTAAAGGTAAGCAGGTTAGACTGAGTCATAAAATTGGTATCACCATCTGATGTAATGCATTTGAATTTCTCACAGACCATTATCTGCCCTTCTCTAAAGTTCATTTTCACCTTTTAAATTTCTTTGGACTTCATATCATATTGTTTGAGTGGATGAATCACCTCCTTTATCAGAAGACAAACTCTGGGTGCAGAAATGGAGTCACAGTAAACTGCACAACTGTTCCGGGACCAGCACACTGTTTCATGTATGCGGCACAACCCAAACATGCTTAGGGTCTACCGACTAATGTGTGAATTAATGAGAATATTATGAATGTCTATCTAGTAAGGAAAGCAGCAATCATATTAGGACAAAGATAAGACAGAATAAAATTAATCTATATGAAAAAGCATCTAGCCCTTCAATAAATTGTGAAGATTGGAAATCCAGGAATGTGTAATTTGAAACTAAGTTAACCAAAACCATTTCCAAATGAAAAATAATCTAAGACAGAGAGAAAATGTAGTAGGGTAAAAAGAGAAAAAAGAAAGTGTATGAATTCTTAAGAAAATAATATTTTTCTAACTTTGTTTTTTTTCATCTAGTTTACCATGTTCCTATTTTAAGAAAACAACTAGAAGTCAAAGTAATTTAATGCACATATGCAAAAAGTTTACATCATTAAATTTTTTAAACAGTCAGTTCAATAAATACAAAATAGTCCATAATTTATTTTTACCAAGTAATTGTACAAGAGCAAATGTTCAAAATTTCACAATGGGTCTATAATTAAAATTGTCATCACTAAATGATAATGAACAGAGAGGGACAGATATTTTCAATGCTCTAGTTAATTTTTCCCAAATTAAATACTTTTATTGATTGACTGAGCATTGGATCAGGTGTCCTATATGTGACCGCTGATTCATTATATTTCGTACTCTGCACTTTCATCATCTGTGGATCTTGTAAGAATGTTTATTCAAATATGTGATGCCATCTGTCTTCATTATATCCCAGTAGAAACGGAAAATAGTTTCCATGAAAGGTCAGCCCTATTTGACATCAGAGAGAGCTAAGAGCCCCACAGACCAAACTTAAAGACAAGCCAAATACTGTTAATACAACCAGGGCACTTTAAGTCATCTTGGCACTTGACGCAAAATTGCACCATTTGAGATTTTGGAATGTAAAATATTTATAAATTGACAATGAACTTAATGCTCACCATGAAAAGATATGTTACTGAAGCCCCAGTTTAATCAGAAACACCAGTTCACTCAAAAAGTGATATGGGGGGGGGAGGTGGGGAGCGTGGGACAGGGGGTGGGCTTTGATGGGAGAAATAGACAAAAAACTGTACTTGAAAAATAACTAAATTAAAAAAATAAATTTAAAAAGTGATATTGGTATTATATTAAGGAATATTTATAAATACAAATAATATGTACCTCATTACCTAATCCCTACTTTTAAATCCTGAAATATTAATATGGATGACAAAAGTCAAACTTTATAAATTTAGTACAAACATCAGCATTCAAATTTCTAAGTGTGATAATCATGGTTACAATCTGTTGCACAACTATTACGTTCCAGAAACTGTGCTATACACTTTATCTGAATTTCTTCCAGAGTATTATAAATACCTACCATTACTATCACCATTTTATACATGAGGAGATTGGGGCCTAC